ACTGATTTAAATTTTATGATTAAATTTAGTCTATTTCCCCCTGATTTTCTTGAACATGTTAGTCATACTTATTTAAGAGCTTGTGTCTGTGAAATCTTGATAACCTATAGGTGTGTTTCTGCTCTCTATTTTATTAGTTTATTTATTTGATCCTGGGCTGGAGCGATAGCACAGCAGGTAGGGCATTTGCTTTGCATGCAGCCGACCTGGGCGACCCGGGTTCAATTCCTCCACCCTTCTCAGAGAGCCCGGCAAGCTACCTAGAGTATCTCACCCGCACAGCAAAGCCTGACAAGCTCCCTGTGACGTATTCAATATGCCAAACACAGTAACAACAAGTCTCACAATGGAGATGTTACTGGGCCCACTCGAGCAAATCGATGAATAATGGTAGGACAGTGACAGTATTTGATCCTGATTCCTGCCATGTATAATAAGGTTGCATTGGATGTGGTATGGGAAAACATTATAAAGTGTGTGTCTTTTATAGAGGATTTGTTTGTCCCTGTTTGATTGAAATATTGGGTCATCTTGAGATCATTATGAGATACTCGCAGAACATCTTCAGGAGTCCTTTGAACATCCATGATCTTAAATGAGCATCTGGTGCATTTATGAGAGCCATTCTCTGTTGAAAAGTAATTCCTGTCATCTTGGTGTCATAAAATGATCAAAATCTATACTTAAATTTTTAGCTTATTTGAGACTACATTTTGATTTCTCTTAGCCTTTTGTACTATGTATATGCAGTTCAGACATAATCACATAATTTAAGGGGGCACAGTCTATAAATACTGAGCTCACTTTCTGTTTGCTTTAGCAAGAAAATCCTGAAGTTCTGGCTTCTCTTGTCATCTCAACTCAGGAACCTCACGACTGAGTGAGGCTTCTTTAAATTTTAGAAAATTCCTTTCTGTTTCTTTCCCAGGAAAAGCAGAAGATGTCCCCAGGGTAATGTGGCAGTAGATGGGGACTCACCTCAGTGAGCCTTTCTTATCTCCAATTATTGACTCTTCAAGTCCTGACTCCCTGTGATGCTCTGACATGCTTCACTTTTTGTCTTTTGAAATCCAGCTTCTGTAGTTGTTATTAGCAGAAAGGGAGGCCTAATACAAGATCTTCTTTCATAGCTCGAAGCAGAAGTCTGTTCCATCTGATTTTCACATATAAGTCAATACCTTACTATATGAATAAAGTAGAGATGGAACATGTCTTGTTCATGGACATTGGAGTTAGATTCTGGAATTAAAATCCCTGCTGGAAACTAACCAAATGTGAGACCTTGAATGCATTGGCTGCTCTGATTCTCAATATTAATCAATATCAGAGGAATAAAGGTGAGGAACCCTTTAGAAATCAGCTAATCCCACATTTATTTAAGTATTTTCAGAGTATAATAAAATGAAGACTTACAGATTCACTTTATGAAGTTACTTTAATTTCCTTTTAGTCATTGTTGTTTTGTGGCCACATCCAGCAATACTCAGGGCCTACTTCTGGCTCTGTGCTCAGGGATCACTCCTGGTGGGCTCCGGGGACCCTATGGGATGCTCGGGATAGAACCCAGTTTGGGCCACATTCAAGGCAAATGCCCTATCAGCTATTCTATTTCTCCGACCCAAAGTTGGTTTCCAAATCTGAGAAAACTGACACCTAAAATAGACCATTTTATTCATTAATATTAATGCAAAAACATATTTAAAATCATAGCAAACATAATTCAGCAACATGTTTGACAAAGTGCAACCACGATCAAAAAAAGCTTATTCCAGAAATACAAGAATGGTTGAGTACTACGAAATTTGCTAGATAAATCTTATTAAAAGAGAGCCAAAGAGAAACATATCCTGATCTTCTCCATAAATAAAAAAGTATTTCATAAAATTAAACACACATTTATTTTATTTTTCATTCAACAAATATGTATTGAGCATCTGCTCCTTGATAAATTTCACTGAAGATCCAGAGTGAAACAGACATTGGCCCTATCCCAGCTCACATCCAGTGGAGAGAAACAGCCAATAAATGCGCCAGAAAGGGGTACGATGGAGCAAATATTTCTTGTAAAGGCTCAATAAAATATGCATGGCTTTTATTAAAAGAATAAATATACCTTGGGCCAAAAGCCAACATCTTGCTTACTAGGGACGCACTAGCAGTTTACTTCTTAAAGTCAGAGTCAAGATTCAAGTGCCCACTGTGTCTACAACATTTAAAATCATGTCGGGAAATCAGGTAATGTGCTAAGACAAGGGAACACTTCCAGAATGGGAAAGAAAGAGAAAAATTGCTGTTTGCAGATTGTATTAATCTACAAATGGACACCTCCAAAGAATCAGTAGAAGAGTGGATGGTCATGAAATCAATACATAAATATCAATCACCATCCTTCACGGTCCTTCCCGTTGTTCATTGATTTGCTCGAGTGGGCCCAGTAATGTCCCCATCATGAGACTTGTTACTGTGTTTGGCATATCGAGTACATCACGGGGAGCTTGCCAGGCTCTGCTGTGCGGGCGAGATACTCTCGGTAGCTTGCCAGGCTCTCGGAGAGGGGTGGAGGAATCAAACTCAAGTCGGCCATGTTGGCTGCGTTCAAGGCAAACGCCCTACTGCTATGCTATCGCTCTAGCCCATCAATCACCATACTAAGTACAAACAAAACCAGTTAGCAAATATACTGAAGAAAAAAGTTTATTTACTTTTGTTTGGATTTTTGTTTTTTGAATTTGGGGCCACACTCAGGTGATGCTCCTGGCTCTGTGCTCGGGGATCATTCCTGGTAGGGCTCTGGGAACCATATGTGGTGCTGAGGACTGAAGCGAGGTGCATGCAAGGCAAGCACCTTACCTACTGTACTCTCTCGCTGAACCAAGAAATTTTATTTATGGTAATAGAAAAACAAAAACAAACCAGAGTACTTCATTTGGGTTAGTCATGCGGCTCAGTGATGGAATGCATGTTTCACATCTGTGAAGCCCTGTGTTCAATTCCTGGCATTGCAAAAATATAAAAATCAAAAAAAATTTTAAATGAAAGAAAGAATAATACATATTCAAAATATATACCATAAATTATAAAATTATCTTAAATAAAAATAGACTTAAATAATTATTAAAAACACTTTGTCGGGGCTGGAGCGATAGCATAGCAGGTAGGTCATATACCTTGCATGCAACTGACTGGGTACGATTCCCAGCATCCCATATGGTCCTCCAGCACTGACAGGAATAATTCCTGAGTGCATGAGCCAGGAGTAACTCCTGTGCATTGCGCTAGGTGTGACCCAAAAAGCAAACAAAAAAAAAAAAAACCCAAAAACAACAACAACAAAAAAAAACACTTTGTCTTTAGATAAGAAGTTACACAGATCGGAGCTTTACTTGAGTTAATTTATGCATTTATAATAAAACTTCCACAAAGAGATTTCTGGAACTGTTAGAGCTGATTCTGAGTTAGTTATTTCCAGGGAAGGAGGTGCAGCCCGTGCTGCAGGGAGATGAGCTGCAGTGTGGGAGGAGCTGGTTCACTCTATGCCTGATGTCTCAGTGACTTGTGCATCTCGTTACCTCCCACTCTCCGTGCTGTCCTCGGAGCCAGCTGCTGCCCATCCATAGCCTGATTTCTAGGAGCTTGTTTGGACAGGCTGGTGGTTTGTGATAGGCATCTTCTAATTCTCTCCACTTGGGCTTTTAGTTCATCTCAGAGCAGAGAGCACCTGAGAGCATGATTTGAGGAGTCCAAATCTTTCAGTGCCTCTTTGTTTCAGTATGAACATTAGCTCATTCTGTTTCCCAGATGATCCGAGAGAAGAGTGCTAAGTTGTGGAAAATAATGTCTTAAAATCGTTGGTGCCGAGTGATCATCCTGGTTATGATGGTGAGGAAGGGGCCCTGTTTGGTTTTTTATTTATTGTCTTTGCTGTATTGATAATAAAATGGATTTCCCACTTATTCATCATTGGGACTGTCTATCCTTAAACTGGCCATCCACAGGGAATTGTTGCTGTCTATTGCCAGCTCTGAACGCACAATGTCTGTTTCAAGTGTTTTCTTTCTCTCATTGAGCCCTTTCCTGCTCCCCGAGGATATTCTGTCTTCCCCTCCCACCTGCTTTTCTGAAGCCATTCTTTCTGGTATTGTCTTCCCTCTTCCCTTTGTAAAAATCTGAGGTTCTTCAATGCTATTTTCAAAGGTTTTCTGAGAAATCCCTTTTCCTTTTGTTTCCAATTGAACGTGAATATACTGGTATTTATCAGGACAAAAGTCACCACTTTAGTTCTCATTAACTTGTGTTTATTCTGGGTCTTATTTCCAGCTGTGAATATCATTAATTCAGAGACTGTCTCACCTCTGTACCTTCTGAAATGCACGCTTATTGTTCTGCACATAGCAGGAGAAAAAAAGACAGGTTTGGATTAGGGAAACAAAGGGCTTCATGTATGAAGTGAGTCTAACCGTCTGGGCTGGCTGTCCAAATTGTCCAGGAAAGCCCACCTTTTGGAAACAACTGAGTTAAACATAATCACTCGATCATTGATCCACAGAGGAGGAGTGGTGGTCTTTACTGTCACCACAGAGCAGAGCTCACTGCTGGGCTGATAATTTTGACCCCTTTCCACTTATGTTCCCGCCAGGTCCTAGAAGTACCTACAGCCTAAAGAGAAGGGTGCCATCAACCCTGAATAAAGCCTTCTTAACTCTTGCACTAACCCAGATTCCACATAAAGACCTTGAGGGTGGGATATGCTCACTCAGAACTGTTTGATTGAATATCATACATTTCTTTCCTAAATGCCAAAGGGAAAAAACATGTTTACCTGTACAGCTGTATATGTTTGTTAAGAGTTTAAATGATGCAACATTGCTGAATGTCTTGTTCCTATGTGAGTGTTCACCTTTTTTGTGTGTGAATTAATGGCTGTGGGAGGCAAGGTGTTTATAAGTATGTTCACATCGTGAATTATTCTACAAAAACACAAAGCCTTTCTTTTCTTGCAGGAACCGAGAAGATTTGCAGTCTCAAGAAGAGAAGGTAGGGGAAATGCATTCATACCCATTTTGTTCTCATGTTGACATTTTGAAAGTAGTTTGCTGAAGCCAAGATGTGCTTCAGACCGTGGGCAGCCTGTTCTCTGAAATGTGGCCTTTTCTGGGTCTTGACTATTTGGCACTTGCCTCTAGGGACTGTAAGAACTGAGTTTGTGGGTGGGGATTATGTTCTTCTACATTCAAGTTTTAGAGGTGGGGTTTGGGGACTTGGCTCATTCGTGATCATGTTTGTACTCTCTAATATAGGCAGCATTTTGAGTGACATTTGAAGTAATTATTTAGTTTCATCCGGCAGAAAAAAAAAAGCAACAACATCAACAATAAAAAATGGTTTATGGTTTGAAGTATTTCAATATCTGGGAAGAGATGCCACTGTGAAAAGTATTTATGATTAGATTTTTACTGCTTTAGCTAAGCTGAAATAGAAATAAGCAATTAATTTCCCCTTTGAAAACCATTCCATGATGTTATATATTCCCTGCCAGAGTTCCTCCAGCACTTTTGTTTTCTGGTATTTGAGGTAAGTATATTTGGTGGGTAATTTCTGAAATCTTTTAGTGCAAATTGAAGTTTCTATTCCTCACTTCCAGCAGTATCTGGTATCTAATAGGGTAATGTCTTTTTAGGATTCGTGGAAATATCACCAATCAGCTCTGTATTGCAGGGATGGGAGAAGAAAGGCAGAACACAAACTAAATTCTCAGTCTAGAGTCTGGTCTTTGGTCTAATCCTTAATCATATCCTTCCTGGCACTTTCTCTGAAACCTGTAACCATATTGACTCCTAAGCTGAACACATCCACCCCTCCTTATTACTCTGTATCTCAAGTACAACAGTGAAGCCCATAAAAGAGTCATGCTGTCAAAGTCGGTTTCTTGAACCTGGGCTTCTCTATGCTTTCCATACTATAGGGTGGTGGTGTGACTTGTTTGTTGCTACTGGTGGTTCTGAAACCCTGGGTGTGGTGGATTTGGCTACTCCCACCAGAAGTTGAACTTTCAGGCTTCCATTCTCATTCACCACTGCTCTGGTTCTTGAACTCGGTGGCCAGTGAACTGCATCCAAAGGTTAAACTACTTTATTTGGATATCAAGACCAGGTGACATTGGACGAAGGTGTGCAGGGGGGACAGCCCTCTACAATTTTTTCACTGGAAGGCATGTTCACAATTTTGCGATGACCCTGTAAATTTGACAAATAGCATTCAGTAGAGAAGTTGTCATGAGAACTCAGTTTGAATGCGAGTGTCTGCATGTTAGTAGCTCTTATTGTAAGTGTTTGTAATTAATTTGCATTATGGAATCACAGATAAGCATAGCAGTTTTGAAATCTTACGATCTTTGTGCTAGAAGATGTCTCTAAATAGAAAAGCTGAGGTGTGAGAGAGCCAGGCATATTTCTGCTCAAGAGTCATACAAAGGCCTAAGGGACATAAGATTCCAAATTCCCCCAAAGATGCAGAGGATGCAGGAATCAGCAAGGTGTGGTAGATTCTTTTGTATTCCTGCAGTGCCTCCTCTCAGGAGCAGCTTTCTCAGCGGGCTGGCTTGAAGCATATGCTTTAGATTTGTACTAGCAAATATGTCCTGACTATCACACAAATGTTTTCTTTCTATTGTCAACTGATGTCTTTCTTGCTGATTTCTTTCAAAGTGGGTGTCTGGGAGTTCCTGAAGTACCTAATACCATAATGTCACAGCTGATAGTCTGGTAGGCAAGAAAGAAGAGTGGGACTTGCAGATCAGTTCTGGGTACTATGGGTTCGAGAATTCACTGGCTTAGGCAATGGGCTTATTAATCTTCTCCAGGACACTGGTCGAGCTTAAAAATTATAGAGGTGCTATGAGTGTGTCAGTAAACCTTTATTCATACCCAAAAAATCATCTAGCAATCAATACTGTTGGTTCCTGAGCTCTGGCTCAGGAATAGAAAGAGGAGAAAACAATGCAAATAATTGTGTGGATTTTAGTTATTGTGGGGCTGGCATTTATAGGCTCGCAGTGTCCCTTCCAAAAACCACTGTTGAGAGTTCAAAAAATGAGGTATATACACCTCAGGGCCTGGGTCAAAGACTCCAGTGCCTGATTCTAGTGACCCCACAGTGTTGACGCAAGGACAGAGCAGTGAGGTGTAGGAATAAGGAGGCAAATATCACTGCATTGGCAGCTGTCAGAGAACTTTCTCTCTCTCCCTGACTCTTGGTGAGCAAGGACCTGAGCGGAGCAGGTAGCACCTTGCATAGTCGCTTGATTCTTCCTTTCTTGGCTGATTTCAGCTGGAATCCATTCCCTGTGGTTTGCGTGCATCAACTGATGCGCTGACCTGTCTCGCACTAGCTACTTCCCCCTTCCGCATTGTCCAGGGCTCTGGTGCATGGTGTCCTAGACCAATTCCAGAGCCCCGAGAGGGAGTCTTGGGAGAAAATTCTAGGGGAGTGCTGAGCCTAGGTTAGATGTGCGGTGAAGACTCCCAGGGGCCCTGGTGGGGTGGGGTGGGGGTCACAGTTCCCAAGGTGATGGGAGGACAGCCAGGCTGTTGGATGAACTTGGGAGACAGACATGGGTCATTCTCCTGCAGGCAGTCCTGCTTGTCCCTGCCCCACTCCCCAGACGCCCGTCCCCCCCCCACCCCCCGCACTCCAGCTGTGCAGCTGTGCTCTGTCACAGGTGTCTCGACACCTCCCTCCAGACACTGAAAACCCCATTTCAACTTTCTCTGAAGCTTTAGCAAGAGATGCTCACCTTCTGGCTGCTGGGCACACCCAAGTCCACTGGTGTGGGCATCAGGAAGGCGCTGTGCTGATTGTGACTGCCTCAGACCAGTCCTTGTCTCTTACCCACCCCATCATGCTGAATTACAGCCAGGAGAGAACACTTGAGTGAGGATAATTCAGCCCACAGCAGTCCTCCCTCAGGCCTCGGGATGATGTGTGAGCGTCCAGATGTCTGTGATTGTGCTGCGATGAGGGGGCTGTGTGTTTGGGAGTGGGAATGTGCCATGTTACATTACCCACCCTCCCTCTTCACCTGCTGCAGTCCCACCCTGGCCACCCCGTAAAGGAGGAGGGTGGGGGTGCTGCTGTCTCAGGAGAAGTGACAATGAAGGGAGCAAGGGTCACACTCTCCCCACCAGCCCAGCATGGCTGCGACTCCTTTTTCCATGCAGATCTATGCGACCTACACACGCAGTCCTGAGTGCTAGCTCACTCCTCACTTTCTAAAAAACCCTTGGAATTGGGCCCTAATTGGCAGCTGCCTCTAATGGCCCCTTTATAGTTCCCTGCATCTGGGTGAACTTGAGCTATCAAGGAGTGCGTTCTGTTTACCATTAATTCTGATTTTGTTTAGCAGATGTTTTCTGGATCTTGGAGTTGCCTGCCTAAGCTATCTTGCTATAATATGAAGTGGGCTGACTCTGGATAAAACAGGTTAATAAAACTCCCAGGTTCTTCTGAGGTAGCTTCTTTTAAGGGCTGCAGATGTGAGGAATTTAAAAGGGAGCCATCCAGAGCTGACAGTGCCTGAGGCAACGGGTTCTTTTTCAATTCAAGGGGAATTGCCAGCTGGGGAAAGAGATGACTCCCCCCAAGCCCCCAACCCCTGCTCCCAGACAGAGGAAAAGCAAACACTCCTACAGTCACTGGGCTCCAGCAGCCGGGAGAGGCCTCCATCTCCTTGCACTTTTCACCCTGCCGAAATTGCCACTTCCCAGCGAGTGTTGCCATTTTCGGCTGCCAGAATTCTCCAGCCTGGAGAGGGAAGTGGACGGTCTGTTCTGGTTGAGACAATGATTTAGTTCCCAGTTTTTGATCACGACCAATAAGCAGGCAGTAGACTCTTCCACCTCTGCGCTTAACTCACCATGAAACTGCTCAGTTTTAATCTCCAAAGGAGGGTGGCGATGGTGGCGGGGGAAGGGGGGGTGTTGTGCGGGGAGGGGTGTACAAAAACACAGGCCATTAGTCCCAACTCTGGATTGTAGAAAACCACCTTGTACTGGCTGGAACCTCAAAGGCTTATGGAAAGGGAGAATCCAAGGGTGGTTCTGACTGGCTTCAAGAACCACTGGGCAGGCAGGATGGGAGATGCATGCTGAAAGCAGACTATAGACCGAACATGATTGCCACTCAATTCCTCTTTTGCAAACCACAGCACCCAAAAGGAGAGAGAACAGGGGAGAGTGCCCTGCCACAGAGGCGGGGTGGGATGGGGGGATGGGGATGGGGGGGTGGGAGGGATACTGGGATTAGTGGTGATGGAGAATGGGCACTGGTGGAGGGATGGGTACTCAATCATTGTATAACTAAACCCCAAGCACAAAAATTTGTAAGTCTACAACTGTACCTCATGGTGTTTCACTAATGAAAATTAAAAAAAAAAACAAAACACTGGTCAGGGTCTGGAGCAATAGCACAGCGGGTAGGGCATTTGCCTTGCACACGGCCAACCTGGGTTCGATACCCAGCATCCCATATGTCCCCTGAGCACCACCAGGGGTGACTCCTGAGTGCTGAGCCAATAGTAACCCCTGTGTAAAGGGTGTGACCCAAAAATTTTAAAAAAAACCATTAGGCAAAGAGCCTGGGTTCTCCTGCTCCTTCCTTATCAAATGTGTTGGCCTCTCCCATGCTATGCTGTCTTATAGGAAGGTAGGTGACAAGCAGTGTCCTCGGGGTTTGTCATCTAGGATGGACACCAGAACAGCACCAGCAGGGCTCTGACTTAAACCCAGAACCCATTCCTGTGTTAGGGAAAAGAGGGAAGGCCGTGGTGGTCGGGCGCCATCACGTGGTCCCCCCTCACGCTCCCCAGAGGCCTGTCACAGGAGACAGGCTCAGCCCTGGGAGGAAGGAGGCTGCGCAGCATCTCATCAGCTCCTGGGGGTGCTGGGAGGAGGGAGTGGTGTGGTGTGGAGAGTCCTTGAACAGAGAGGCAGGGGAGGGGTCTCCACTGTAGGCCTTCTTACCCCGTGATTGTAGGTCCG